TGCAGTATCCCAAGAATGAAGCTAAGCTCATCACAGCAAAGTGCAAAAGTGGGTGTGACTGGTCTTTGAGGGCCTCAGTCATATCTGACATGTCAACATTTCAGATCAAGAGCCTGAAAGGCACACACTCTTGTGCTTACAGAACAGAAAACAAACAGGCAGATTACAAGTACCTAGGGAGAAGGATGCTTGAAACTTTGAGAGACAATCCTGCTGAGCCACTCCACAGTCTGAGAAACAAAATTAAGAGAGATTGTGGGGTTGATATAAGTATTCACAAGGTGTACAGAGTTAGAGCTTATGGTTTGTCATTGTTGAAGGTTGACATTGGGGAGCAATTTAGGAGACTGTACGACTATTGTACCACTGTAGTCAAGTACAATCCTGGTACCACCCTTATCCTGAAACTGAACCATGACTTCACACCTCCAAAGTTTGTCAGGATGTATGTTTGCTTTGGTGCAATGAGGCAGGCCTTTGTGGCTGGATGCAGGCCCATTATAGGACTTGATGGATGTTTTCTGAAGACTATACATGATGGTCAACTACTATCAGCTATTGGCAGGGATGGCAATGACAACATGTTGCCTATTGCAATGGCCTATGTGGAAGTTGAGAAGATGGACTCTTGGAATTGGTTCATTCAAAGGTTGTTAAGAGATATTGACCCATACCTGGAGAAGAAGTGGACCTTTGTTTCAGATAGACAGAAAGACTTGCTTGATGTTGTTGGTCAAATCAAAGGGGCAGAACACAGGTACTGCTTGAAGCACATTTACAACAATTTCAAGCAGAAATGGGGGGATTTGGAATTAAGAAAATGGTTTTGGAAGGCAGCCAACACATACAATGTGAGAGAACACATTAGGTGTATGAAAGAAATCCACAAACTTGTCTCAAAGAAAGATGGAAAGGTGACTCCATTTGAGTGGCTTAAGGCTATCCCTGAAGAGCACTGGGCAAGATGTTTCTTCACTTCCAATGCACTGTGTGATGTTATTGTGAATAATCTGTCAGAGTCCTGTTGTGTACAAATTATTTTTATTTTACCGAGCACCGAATCAAATGATTCGTTTCCCGGGTCGATCTCTCGAGGAAGACTGTTCGGAATCTAGAATTGGTGTTGATA